GTATGTACGGCGAAAACAATGCCTGATTTTTAGAGGGAAAGGTTAAAACATGATGAACTCCCATAGTTTGAGGAGTCTCAGCAAAAAGTAAGTCGTAAAATTAAAACAGTTGTAGTAATTTTTTTACAAAACATGTCGTAAATTTGCGACAGCCTATTCTTGCTTGTCGATCAATTCCAAGTCGATACAAAGTTCTTGTAAATGTACAATTTCAAATTGTAAATTTACGACACACGTCGGGAACGTCCCGTAAACCTTCTTCAAAGTTTTCCCTTTTCACTCAAAGGATCAGACATTGGTTTTTTCCATGTGGCAATGTAGCAGGGGGCTACATGTCTAACGGATGTGTTCCGATGTACCCCAACATCTATTTCTCCCATTCATTATGGATTCTGGTTTCCTTCCTATCAATTAGTAAGATTTCGTTTCCGAAAGTAAGCAAGAGCGTGAGCAGGGATGGGACGGGGGACGCGTGCGCGTCTGTCCGTCCTGCTCTGCCCTACCCTGCACGCCCCGCCGGGCCTCCCTATACCCCTACCCCCGGCCAGGGATCCCCGAGTACCCCCTCCTTCTCCTTCTCCTCCTACACGGCTCGGCCCGCGGCTGCGCGCGATGCACGCCAACTGATAGATCGCTAGCGAGTACCCATACCAGGTACCTCCACCGGGTACCTTTACCACCGCCCATTGTTCATGACTCTGTGTCCACCGCAGAAGCGCGGGGCACCGATCACCGATCCACTTTTACTACTGCTATGCCGCGGGTGCCGGCGGCAAATAAGAGCGCTCTATGGAGTCTACCAACGGTTGGGTGCGGTCAGTCACGTGCCTTTTTGAGAATTTAGCGATTACAGTAGATGGCCTAAAATTAGCACAACATATTTTTTCGTCAGGCCGATTTTGAGGCATCATTAAACTAAAACAATTAGGACCAATCCAAGGGAAAGTGAAACGTGGGGGAAAATGCGGGAAAATGAGACATCTCATATTTGGCAAACAAAATGAAAATCTTTTGGTGTTGACGTAACATTTTCGGATTGATTCAATTCTACTTAATATGCACTGTATCATTTTTATCCGCGTTTCACTTTAAAGATTTCTCCGATCCGACCCTATGTACTTGGAGACAACCCCTTCGCTTGCTTACTTTACCAGCTTGCCTCCGCAGAGTACCTCTTCGGCAACTGCTTTGAAAACGAAATAGTAATCAATTAATGGAGGTAGAGGGAGGGACTGGCTGTGCCTGTGCACTGTGCACGAGCCGCGTGCACGTCTCATCTCGTGTGTACCCGTGCACGTGCACGCTGCTCTATGGCCGCATGGTGTGTTGCAGCATCCTGCCCCTGCCCCACCCACTCGGTCCAGTGTAAAGCACATCGCTGACGCTATGACACTGTCAGCGCAAGCAGCTGGAAAGGCCTGGTACGACCAATTTATGCCCATTCAGATTGATTTACCTCCTATACCGATCCCCTGGTAGAGCACTCATTAAGGGGTCATCCTAGTGTAGCAAACTAGAGTAGTTAAACCAAACACAGAAATATTTCCGTGAAAAACTATCAATTAATGACCAAAGATAAATAGTAAAAAAATGCTTATGATTAAAGCAGCAAAATGCTAAAAAATAGTAAGGGCGTTTACCGTGGTTCACACGATAACCGAGTTTCTTCTGAGTCTTCGAACTGGAGATGATCTAACCCATTTGTACACAACGTGAAAATATTACATATCTAATGTCTCTCTCGTCATGATGGTAAAAGCACACTTTCAACCTTAAGAAGGTGCTATCGCATTATCAAGTTTGTTTCTCACCCGGAGCTATCGTTTTGAAGAAGTAATCAAGGAAACTCTCTTATTTTGAACCCACTACTCTAGAATTCCCCTTCACGAGAAGGCAAAGTAGGTGCTCCTTCCCCACCCATTTCCCACACCCTTCCTGCGGTGCCAAATGGAACACGTGCAATCTCTATCTCTGCGCCCTCGCTGACATGGTGGTACCCGGGGCCCCCGGCGGTTCCGACTCGACAAGGTCTTCGCCGCCCACACGAATTCTTCCTTTAACTGCCGCACCACCACAAGTGTGCGCAGTGTGTTGCTATAGCCTCTCCGGCGCCACGGCACGGCATACGAGAACGCCTTTACCTCCTGGCCTTTGCCTGTCTTGTCGTGTGCAGCCCCAGCCCCAGCCCGGCTCGCCTCGGACCCCCACCCCTTCGGGAGGGGGGAGGAAGGGGAGGAGCTCCAGGGGCCCGAGGGGCCCGAGGGGCCGGAGGGGGCCTTCGAGCCCCCGGGCAGGCGCGCGCTCGCGCCCCCTCAGCGCTGCTCAGCCCCCCCGGGGCGAGCCCTGTATATAAGCACACGCGCGCATCGCCATCCAGTCGCGGCTCGGCGCTGTCGTGCAAATAAAGGAGCCACAGGCCCCTGCGCTGTCCGCAAGATGAGGCCCACGGTGAGTCTGTCTCGATGGAGTGTCTAACCCTCCCGGATACAATACAGTGCAACGTGCAACGAGTGCAACAGTGAGTGTGTGTGTGTGTGTGCATGAAGGACCGACCGCGGTGAGTAAGTACAGCACCCGCGCGATCAGAACGGTGAGCTGGCCAGTGAGTGAGAGGCGAAGTAATTTGTGCGAGCAGATTAGGACCCATAGCTCATTGCTTGAGTAATTGATCTCATAAGCCGGTCATCTAGCATATCGAAGCGCAAGACATTCCAAGTAAGGGCTCATGTTGGACACTTTTGTCATGGTCTCGAGTGAAAACTAGAAAGCTAGAAAGCTTGAGTGATCCTGGAGGTGTTAGGGGAAGTAATCGCAAAGCATTTTGAAATTAACGAAAAGAGGCGAAAATAAACCCAATTACAAGTCTACATCAGGAATCGTTACAATTTGATTGTTCTCGCTAAAGTTATTTTGGTCAGAGAAAATGGCCGATTTACTAGCAGTAAAGTGTAATAAAGAATATTTCCACCGTTGAGCACGATAATTGTAATCGGCGAATCAGCGCATTAGGGAAAATGATACGAGGAAAGAATACGACTTTCCTCTTAACCATAAACAGCATTCAACCATAATCAGAAGTTGTTGGCACAATTTTTTCAATCCGTTCGTTGTACGTGGCGTCGCATTCTTCCCGGAGCGCGCTTCATCCACAAAAGTCCCATCTCGACAAGAGCAAACTGTGAAGCAGGGGCCATTGCATTGCGTCAGTTGCGGGTGTGTGAGCACCGGGCGTACTTGCTTTGACTCGGCGGACGTGTGTGTGTGTGCCGAGTGGACGAGTGAGCGTGTGTGCGAGCGAGAGGGAGTGAGCGAACGGGACCGGCGATACGGCGCGACGCTCTGATCGTGTCCTCCGCGGCGGCCCTGCCCCTGCCGGCAGAGCCCGGGCGAGAGCCGAGGGCTCGCCCAGACATCTCCCCTTACTCTCTTGTTATCGAGCCTGTTATCGGCCCGCGACATGAACCCCCGCGCTGCCCTTTCTCTATGAGCGTGTGTGTATATCTGCATACGCGGACCATCGATAACGACGGTTGGGCCACAGGCCGGCCATAGGCCACATTGGGGCCACAGCGGCGCGCGGCGCGAGAGGCTTTAGGAGGCCCACCGCCACCGCGCCGCGGACCCTCCGGACAGTCATCAGTCGAGGTTAAAATACCTGCGTCATTCTTTCCATACGCGCGTCGCCATGGATTGGAGTCTATGATCCCACAATGGCATGTAGACCGTAAATTCAATAAGGCCACAGGGATCACAATGAGATGGGCTACGCACCGACTTGCGGTGGGCGGCCGTACGGGAGGGGCAGACGTGGCGACGCCTCAGAGGCGTATCAATGGTGTCATAAAAGGAGATGCCTACTGTTGTCTCGTTGGCGCACGGGGGCGGCGGCGCGGAAGGGCGTGGACACCGACAAGACGCTGCAGCGACACTGTTCGGTGACAATTAGACAGCTTGCCGAGGCTGTGGACAAAACTACAGCAGAGCTATATGGCAAACTAAACGAAATTCGCGCGGCCTATAGAAAAAACGTAGTAACTTTCGGGCATTTTCATTTCGAGGAAAACCACGTGCCCCAGAAAACTCTGACGCGATTCATTCTGAAAAATCAGCAGTGTACACTGATAGTCTACATTGTATGCTGATATATCAGCAATCATGCTGACACATCAGCAATCATCAATGATCACGTTTAGATTTTCGGCTACTTTATAGTTTACTTGTTTAACACAACGCGAAGTGAAAATAAGACATACAAGCGTAGAAGTCTATGGAATACATTTATATTTCTACGAATTTTACGTGTCCACCACTCCCCATAACGCATGGTACATTGCACGCAAAATTCGAACATATTGTATGGCACAGGATTTTTGGCATTACATGACGCGTGTTCATAATCACCAGGCAAGTTGTTTACCCGGGTAAGGGGATCCTCGTGTTCTATTGGGGTTGTACGGTACATGTCTCGCGGGCCCTCTGCTCTGACGCCCACCATCCAGCGGCCACGGCCGGCCTCGGCCCAGAGGGGGGCCACGGCACGGCACCAGGGCGCACTGGGATGGACAGAGGGAGAGCGCCGTCAACTCGAGGTCCTGGGCGCTGCGCTGTGATTGGGTCGGAGTTGCACCCGCTGGTTGGCCGGGCGGACGTGTCGAATGCACCCCGACAGTCGCTCGGATCATGTTCAGCAGCGCTGCCGCATATCTGTGTCGCCTGACCCCAGGAGCCCGCTGGAGCCTGGCGGGCTCCGGAGGGTTCGCAACTACTTGCCTTTGTGAGGCCAGATGTTAGGCTGGCCGACGGAGCCGCCCAGCGACTCTCCCTCTGCTCTGAGTCTCTCTAGGGCGCACTCGGAGCGCAGAGGAGCCCGCCACGCAGGTGGACAAAGGTCTGTGCAGCCAGTCTGTCTGTCCGTCCGTCCGTCCGCCGCTAGTCTTGGCCACGCCATGCTCTCAGCATGAAGGCACTTGACATTTCCGCGGCCCAAGAGTGGAGTCAATTGATTCAGAGTACGCGAAGCAAGCGCGCGGCAACGGGGCGGGCGGGTTGCAGCAACGGGGCGGCTGTTGACTTTCTCATACTCTGTGTGCGTGAGTGTGTGTGTGGCAATGGACGGCTCACATTCTCATAGCGCAACCGGTGCGTCCCCGGTGTCAATTATTGTAAGCAGGACACGGTCAGCTAATGAATCGGTGTCTCCTGCATGTGCTGCTCGCCCCGCCTCGCCCCGCCTCGCCGCGCCCTACCCCTCCCCACGCCCTTCTAAGACGGCGCTTTGTGTCTCTTTTGCAGCTCCTCGTCCTGGTGTGCGTCGTGGCCGCCGCCTCGGCGCGTCCACAGCGCGGCGCTCCAGCAGCGGCCGAGCCCATCGCCATCGTCAACCTGCAGAGCGAGGTCAACCTGGACGGCACCTTCTCCTACACGTAAGTGACGAGTGTCCGTACCAGGTGACTGCTCTGCCCGGCTCTGCCCCACCCGCTCCTCTTGCCGGTCTTATACTGCGGGCGGCTTTGCCTATCGTTACCGACAGTGGTGCCCTGCCGCCCAGAGCGGATGAATACTATCGTGGGTCATCCAGAAAGTAGGCCCCGTCATACGCCGTTTCGAATCTGCCAAGCCAAGTTCAGTCTCTTTGCAATCCGGCAGAGCGCCTGATGGGTAGGCAACATCTCGCCTGCAGTGCACAAGTGTACTGCGGGGTGGCCTACCCTGAGTCTCGCAGGCGCCGTGCTCCGTGCTCCCGTAATTTGCCGAATGAATCTGAGAAAAGCGGACGTTCTTTTTTTATGATCACACGGGCAAACCATCCACGCGCGTGCATGTGGTACCGTACTTCTCAAGATTGAGAAGAGGGATAGCATTTAAGCAAGCGGTGCCTCTTTCCGTCCAAGCGATTTATCAATCGACAGATGACTGAAAACTACACTGAGAAAAAAAGTAGGTAGGTTAACCAGGAAAATTTTCCTTGACGCAAGTTGTAAAATTACGATTTGTAATCGTAAAAATACATGCAGTATGTATCGACTTCAAATCCCTTGGCGAGTAAGAGATGTGCTGTCGTAAATTTACAACTTAAATTATAATTCGGGTTTACAATTTTTTTTATAAATTTACGACGATATTTTTCACAGTGTAAATAAAAATAAGAATATCCCAAATAGAAATAAGAATATCCCATAAATCACCAGGCACCTGTTCCTGCGAATCAGCTAACTGACATCCTGACTCTCGTCTCGCAGGTACGAGTCGGCCAACGGCATCAAGGCGGAGGCCCGCGGTCAGCCCGGCCAGGGCCCGCCCGGGGAGGAGGGCGAGTCCGTGCAGGGCTCCTTCTCGTACGTGGGCGACGACGGCCAGACCTACTCCGTCACCTACACGGCCGACGAGAACGGGTTCGTGCCGGCGGGCGCGCACCTGCCCACGCCGCCGCCCATCCCGGAGGCCATCCAGCGGGCCCTCGAGTTCAACGAGAAGAACCCCGAGCCGGAGGAGGGCGCGCCGCGCAAGGGCCGCTAGTCAATGGAGTGTGTGCGTGTGAGTGTGTGCGTGTGTGTGTGCGGGCTGTAAATAAACGAGAGGGCGACGAATACCGTTCCGCAGTGATTCAGTGGGGGTGTTACCCGCCGTCTCCTAGAGTGGACCTCCCGCTTCCGCCAGGAGGCAGGCGCGCCCCGTGGAGTGGCTGGCAAGGACATGGCCCTTACGTCACGAGGCCGTGGACGAGCCTCGGCGCCGGGCTCAGCACGAGCAGCACCAAGGTTGGGCCGGGTCTGGGTCCGCCGGGTCCCAACCGAGAGTGAAAGCGGGAAGAAAGCCCGAGGCAGATGAGCGTCGCGGGAAAGGGGGGGGGGGTCGCTGCCTACTACGGGCTCTACCGGCGAGACCAAGGACACGAGGTCAAGGCCATCGTCACACACCCTCCGCCGAGGGTTTTGCTCCAAAGGAGCGGCGCACAACGGGTCCCAGCAGAGAATAACAATGGTCCAGCCGGTCGGTTTGGCGACATGCAACACTAGCACTTAGGCAAAGACTACAATTTTAGGTCCAATGAACACCCTCTGTTTTCAAAATTTCTGTGCGTAATATGGTAAAAACTCGACACGTGGTGAGTACGGTATGCCATCCGTTGAGATTGGCGACACTTTCAGAGACAAAAAAATAAAGTGTGAATATGACATGGTGCAATAAAGTAATCCGGCAAAGCTAAAAAAAAGCAGAATGTGGATAAAAACAAAGCGGAAATCACTATGCTAGGACATGGTGATTTCCGTTTTCTTGTTCCCCGCATTATTCTGCATTTCCGCTTTACCGAGTGTTTTGTTAAACGCACGTAGCTTTGAGACCCACACGTTTTGTGCACACCCGGGATGCGCTGCAGAGGGGTGGCAGCAGGATGCCGGCCCTCCGATGTGCAGGGCCGGGCCAGGCAGGGGAGGGGCACGGCGTGGCGGGGCAGGCCAGGCCGGGCCGGCGCGGACGGGGGCAGTCTGACCACTGACTAAACCACCGGCAGCGAGGGGAGGGGGCCGCCACCCGTCTCCACCACCACCACGACATGGACCATGCGGACAGGTGAGCGCACCGCGCGCCGGCAGTGAGCAGTGGGACAGACGCGTGGACCTCGGATTCCGATGCGTGCACGCAAGAGAGGGGTATCTGAATATCGCTAACACTTTCCTAGTCGCTCGCGCATTCTGTCAAAACCTTACCACACGGTGGCCCCCTCGCGTGCTTTCTAAGGAACGCACCAGGTCCCGGACGGGCCAGAGACACGCCCCTCACGGCGGCGCTGGCGAGCGTGCGCCTCAAGATGAACCGGCAGACCATGCGCTTCCTCGGGCACGCCGGCAGCGGCCACGCCAGCAAGGGCCGCCAGCCCCCCGCCACGGCGACCTCCGCGACGTCCACCCCGCCGGCAGAGGGGGGGCCGACCCCGCCGCGCGCCAGCCCCAGGCCCTCCACGGCCGGGGAGGGCGGGGAGCGCCACCTCGACACCCGCGTGTCCACCACAAGCCTAGCGTGAGTACCCCGCGGCAGAGGACGGTCCGGCGTGCCTGGATAGACGTGCCTGGAGGCTTGCTCAAGGGCGGGTCTCTTGTGGTCCAGCAGATGGAGGCGGTGGCGCGCGCGGCGCCGGGCGGCCCGCAGGTCTAAGGCCAGGCAGGTGCCCAGGGGCGTGGGGGTGTGCTGCATCAACGTGCGCTCGCCCAGCGTCAGCGTCGTCGTGGAGCGGGTGGGACCCGGGGCGGACGACGAGAAGCCGGGGCCCACGGTGACGCGCTTGGGGCCCTGCTCCAAGATGGTGATCCGACTGAGGCAAGCCGGCCGGGGCGGCGACCAGCAAGCGTCGCCCGCCGAGACCACCGGGCGCCAGGCGCGCGAGGTACACCCGAGGAGCACTAGCAGCACGAGGAGCGAGATAGTGATTGAGCACGAACACCGGGCCGTGTCGGGCAGGTGCAGCCTGCGGAGAGTCGGACGGCGGCGGCCCGGCCGGAGCGCACTAGCGGGGAAGACGCTGTGGAGGCAGGTCCAGGAGACGGGGAGAACAATCCTAGTAAGTAGTGGATCGTATTGTAAATCGACTACGTCCAACACAACAATTTCTGCATTTACTGGCGATGGTCGTGTCGTAAAAGAACAGTAACATTACCTAATAACCTCTTTGAACCACAGTGCACATACTGTATTTATCCCCAGTAGCGCCTACAAGCGCAGAAAAGGTGACACACTTTCGGCGCATTGAAAGAACATAATCGCATTTACCGCGCGAAAAATGTGTGCATTGCATTGGGCAATGCGCGTAAAAAGTAAAAAGCACCACTGCACTCAGGGATACGGTGCGGGCTTGCCTCTCGCCACAGACCATGTCCGCCGTGCGAGCAGGCAACCCGCTCGCACCCGTGCGTGGCGTGCGGTAAAACGACGGCCGACGGCCGTGCTTCGGTGTCCATGTTGAAGCTAGCCGAGAGGGAGGGCAGAGCCGGCAGAGCACCCAGGCGGCCGCCAGCGACGGCGAGCGACACAAGCCCGAGGCGGGCGACACCAGGCCGGCGGCCTCCAGCGAGTCCCTCAACACCTACGTGCGCCGGCGGGCGACCAGCATCGTGCAGCAGGTCCCGGCCGCAACCACCGCACGTGGCGCAACACGTGGACGACCCGCTAACAGTGCAATCGTTCGATTAGGTGGCAAAAAACATCAGCCGGTTCGAGAGGCGGTGCGGCGGCCTGGAGGCGGCGAGCAGCCGGGAGCGCCTGATGCGGCAGGTGATAATGGCGGCGGCATGCGCCAGCCTAGCGCCCCCTGGTAGACTGGCGTCCCGACCCCTGCACCTGCACCGCATTCTGGCACTCGCTTTTGTAGGGTATCCACGCGGCGTTCAACAGCCAGGTGGGCGCGGACCAATGGCGGCGTGCTTTTGTCGCAGATAACGCGCGTAGCCGCGTACACGGCGGCGAGCAGGCAGCTGCGGCACGCGGCGCACCTGTACGCCGTGGCGGGGATCACCGCGAGGCAGGCGCGCAGGGGGATCGTCAGGTCAGCGCAGCGTCATCGCCGCACTACCAGGCTTTGCAGGGTGATTCCGCACAGTGGCTTGTCACCCATGAGTGCGACAAGGACAGAGGTACGAAGGCGCTGTGCGGAATCACCCTGCTGGAGTCGCACTTAAAACCCGATCACGTTTCGGTCGAGGGCGCTGCATATGAGGATGAGGACGAAGTGCGGTTGGGCGGTTGGGTCCGGCGGGGCCAGCCTGCCTGACGCGACCGCCCCATGTCTTGGCCAAGGCTGTTAAAAAGCACCCCTTGGACGGCAGGTATTGCAAGATCGACTGCCCGCCCCGGCCTCCACTCCCGGGACCTGGCGCCCTGGCGCTCCCGCTCGCGGCTGTGCCGCTGCACGCGTTGCACCCCTCACGGCCGAGCTTACCCAGGTGCGCGCCTCGGACACCTACCCCTCCCGTCTGGCTCCAAGTGGGCCAAGTCGGAACAGGCGGACCTGTTCCGTCTTGAGGCCTGGAGCTGGAGACACAAGTAGCGATGTTGCCCGCAGACCGCCGCCAAAGGCAGAGGTCTTTAGAGACCTCCGGTTTACAACTGAAGTGAAGTTCGTTCCCCGTCCTACCGCAGGCCGCCTGTAGCTGACCAGACTGGCGAGGCTGTCCACATCAACGACCTGCCGAAGGTATGTCCACCTGTATTGCGCAGCGGCCGCCCGTGCAGTGCCTGGCCGTGTCTGTCTGACCACCCCCGACAGCGCCTCCTGCTTAGGGTCTTCGCCCTGCTGGACCAGCGCGAGCTGAGCCTCAACGCGGCGCCCGTGTGCCGCGCCTGGCACCGGCTGGCGAGGAGCAGGCACTTTTGGCGCGAGCTTACCTTTGACGGTGAGGCTGCGTCGACTGCGCCAGGGTGGGGCTGTCGTGCGCCTGCGCCTGCGCCGGCTCTCCCACAGTCACGGGCCTCGTCTGCTCCACAGCCGCCTTCCACCAGTACTCGGCGCAGAGCGTGTGCCAGCTGCTGCGGGTCACCCCCGGCCTCTGGACCCTCGAGCTCATCGCCTGTCGCGACGTAGACCTAGTCCTCGGCCAGGTGTGGCAGACGTGCCGCCAGCTGCGCACCTTGGTGCTGGACTCGTGCACCGTGTCGCCGAAACTGCAGCAGCTGCCGCGCCAGGTGAGCCAGCCTGCGCCAGCTGCGACAGGACGACAAGGAAAAAGAGCCGCATGTCATGTGATGAGCGCGACGCCTCCGCAGGCCAAGGAGGCTTCCGTGCTGGAGGCCGTGCTGGAGCACTGCGTCTGCCTGCAGTACCTCATCGTGGCCTTCACGCCACTCCTCTACACTAGCAGCTTCTTCGAGCTACTCGGGCGTCGTTGCTGGAGTCTGCGGTGTTTTCTGGTGGGTTGCCAAAGGGGGGAAGGGAGGGAACGGGGAAGTTCCACAGCGAAACAAGTAGCGAAGCGACGTCGATGTTTTGGATTGTCGATGACGTTCTGATACCTTATTTTGCACTGGGGTAGTACTGACCACGCTTCAATTCATGTGTGTGGATGGCACTTACATGCTAGGTGAGCGCGGACGACGGGGATGTTCGCGTCTTTTGCGAGTCGCTGAGCGCGGACGGCGGCGAGCCGGGGTCCAGCGAGGCTAGTGAGGCACTGCTAGGGTCGCTGACGGGTTCCTGGTCCCGGACGGTGCCGCCGCCGGCGTGCCCCGCCACCACGGCCAGCGACAACTGCCACGCCGCGCACCCCCCACGCGAGACGGGTGACCTGAGGAGGAGGGTGACCTCCGTCCGCACCAGGAACCATCTGCTGCGAGTGCTGGCCCTGAGGCCCGACGCCGAGTTACGGCTGCTGCAGTGGCGGATGTCCGACAAAGACAACCGCGCCACGTTGGACTACTTCGGCGTAGAGGCGCGCCTGAGCTTTCAGTGACACGTCAACGCCCCCGGCTCCGGCCCCAAGCCATGGCCACAACCAAAATTTTTCTCAAGTACCAAGCTGAGACAAACTTTAATTGTTTACAAAATGCTGCGTACAAATATAAGATGGAACATTCTTACCCTACTATCACAGAATTTTAGAACATGCCAGCTACAAACAAAAGAAATGAAACCTTTGCCAGCATCAAAAATTAATCACATACATCACACACTTAGACAGCTTTTTGACCAGAAAGACAAGACCTCAGAATCAGAGGTATTGACTCCCAGAGCTTGTAAAAGTGCAGTCTTGTCTTTTCGGTCGGTGGAATCCTTCTTGTCTTGAAAGTCAACTTGGTGTAAGACTCGGGCAGCACTGTAATTAATGCAAAAAATGTGGTAACACATGACGTCAAACTGTCTCAGACTTCAAGATTCAATTGTGCTCTTTTCTCACTTCAATGTCTCCATTCTCAAGGCAGCAATTTGCAGTAACAATGTTGATTCGCTTAGCAGATCTGACTGCATTGCACGTTCCAGCTTAGCTAAGTATGATGGCCCTATAAAGAAAGAACAATAAATAAATTATTGGTAATCTACGAGCTACTGTCAAAACCAAGTTTGAAATCTATACTCACATTTTGTTGGGAGCTGACCAGGCCATTTTAAATGGTAGGTAAACTGAGAAGCTTGATTTAGGAGGGCTAAAGATTCAGGTGTTTCACAATCAGGTGGTAGTAATACTTCCAAACGAGCAACCTGTGGTGAAGGCTGAGGAACTGCAGCACGTGATTCAATACCCAACATATTACATTCGATGGGTGACATATATTGAGAACTAAATGGAATTAAGCGTGCACATCCTTTGGGTAACAAAACCTAAGAGGAAAAAGAATACAAACACTTAAAAAGCATTAAATTCTGTAAAGAATCATCATTTTATTTTTAAAATGGAGATAAAATTTTACCTTTAATGTTAAAAGAATGCTAGCAACAAGTACAGCTGGCTGCCCTCGAACAACAACTTGTCTGCCCACAAGAAGGCAAAAAACAACACATGCAAAGTTTGTTGGACCTATTAATGAACGCAACATTCCTAGGCTGTTCACGCTAGGGCCTGTTGTTTGAACAACATACTTCACCAAATTAGAATTATCTGGTGAAGTTTGAGTACAATGCAGGTCTCTCTTAGCAGAAACAAATGTAAAGCCCTCTTCAGAATCTGTTTGATAATTCAAAAGTTTTTAGCAGACTATTAAAAGATTAGTATTATATATACCACCACTGGTGTACCCACGGCTTGAAGCATTATATGAATCAGCACAACTGGAGGCAGCATTATGCAGATAGCAATTAACACATTTAAACGTACCTTCCAATGGTCCAAAAGGTAATGTCCAGTTCAAAAGTGGAAAGGTTTCACGGAGATGAGTTGCAGAATTTCTAAGCAGCCATACAAACCACAAATGTAGCCTGAAAAGATTGAGAACCATTAACATAATCCCCAAAAGGATTTCGTTAAGAACAATTTTTTAACGCTCATTGCTTGAATAGTACTAGAATAAACAAAGTCTTCTTGAAATATAATTCACTCACTGTGCATATACTTGTGGGGACCCGGTTAGCTCTGACAAAGGACGACTACTCTTGTCCGCACAGTAAGCATTGCTTAATCTTAAAGCTCTCTGTGGGCGGGCAATTTGTTCTGCTTCATATACCTACAGAAAATAAAAT